TGAAGCGGAGGGAAGCTTAGGGAAAATTTTGGATCCCACATTAAAAAGACATTTGAACCAAATTTAGGAAGGAAATTAGTTTCCCTCCAACCAAACATACCCTAAAAGTATTTTAAAATAATAAACATTTAATTTAAATAAATTAATGGAAACGTATAGCATAGAATTCAAGTAAGAAATGCCATTTATTTTCATTTCAGCTATCCATGCAGCGATCTAATGCAGCAGTCAAATAAATGTGGCACTCTTGAACATATAAAATCAAACCAAAGAGTGTCTGTGGGAAAGATATGTACACACTGCACAGGCCTTACTTCTACCCAATGAATAGAGAATCTACGCTTGAGTAACATTTTCAGAAATATATGAAGCTCAACTCCCTTCCGTGATTTTATTGGTGCATTGGTTTTTGCCGCAGTCATGATTTTTGCTGTTTGGTTTCACTATCATTAAGCGGCTCCAAAATTGGCGTGGGTCTCTCCGTAACCACTCACCCATAGTATCAAATAAATCCTTGTCGTTTTTCGTAGATTGACCAAGGGTTATAGTCATAGTAATACTCCTATTATCCGAAAGCACCGTGAAGAGCCACAAATGCCCACAAACCTCCTAATTTACACCAACGTGTAAAATCGCTACCTAAACCCGTAGGACGTTGAGCGGCCCCCACGTTCGCTACAAGACGTTGGTCTCTAACTAAAAAGGTTACTCAATTCACAATGTGTGAATGCAAAGTCTTCTCCACACCTCGCCCAACTTGAAGTGTAGGATTTTGTACTCTGGAACTATGCTCGCCTCGTCCCAAAAAGTATTTCCTATTCAGAGGGTCAAACATTGACCTCTTCCCTTGCCTATTTACATGACCCATTAGATAAGATAGTAGTCTTGTCACTTCTTAATTTGTAGAATAATGTTATGTTGCTTTTGAATATGTAAATTCTGTTTTAAGAATTTTACACCAATTCGCAATAGGGAAGTCTTTACTGGCGGAGGGAGCACTTAGAATAGAAAGAAATGTTAAGAGCTAGATATTGCTTTTCTTAATAAGAAAGTAAGAAAGCGTGCACTTCATTGTGAGACATCCCAAAAAGGGATGCGTGAACATCTTTTTTGGACAGATGAAGTACTTGTTAGGGAAAAGGTCAAAAACTTTTCTAGTTACATCACTTATTTTTATGCAAACGCCTTTTATAACATCAAGACATTCATACACGCAGATATTGCCCATAGCTTCTCTGATTATTGCCAAAGACAAACATCCCGGCGCACTCATGGTTGATATGAGATTTATGGTTCCAATTTGATGATGGGATCCCATTAATTTATCATAGCGGTTGAAATCTGTGGCATGAGGAAATAGGCATGCAGTCAGCTAACCTGTCTTGGCAGATGCATTTAGAAACTGGATCCCAAGACAGGCTTGATGGATGCATGCCTTTAACACACCAGTGTTATGTGCCTTTCCTTATAAAGGTAGGACTTATGTTTCCTTTCCTCTTCTTCATTTCCATGAATCGATTCTCTGACAAGTGAATGGTCAATCGAGATTGGAACTAATAAAGGATGCAGATAGATAGCTCCTTTTGCGGTTGCACCCCAAACATAGATGCAAGGCTTCTCTAGGGAAATCAACGACAACCAGCCCAGCTAAATCTCATGAGTGGGGTTCGGGTTTGGATGTACACAGACTTTATCTTTATGTAAAAAAGATGGGAAGGCTGTTTTTGACCAGAAATCATACTGTTTGGTTACATTTTATCTTAATATTCTTGAAAGGTTGGACGTATACTCTATAATTAATGTTCTTATAATTGGCATAATAAGGTACTGTACTAGAATATGTCCTTAGTGACGATTGAGCTTAAAAAACAAAAAATAAATAATTCTATGAAGTTATTTTTATTGCAAAGAAAACATATGTATGATGTACAAAATGTTTACTTGGTCCTTTTCCATGAACATCCAAACATGTCACTTTATCACCTTTCATGTATGAATTCTACCCCTTCCCCCTCATTTGTACTAATTTGTATTTGAAAAAATCAATGCAATTATAAAGTACTCTGTATTTGATTTTTTTTAGTGCAGTTATATAAACAATTACAAATACAAATGTATCTGGTTTGATCTTCAAACAAATGTATTTAAAAAATTCATTAAAACTATACTCCTTAAATATTTGAAATTCAAAAAACAAATCACTAATTACTTAAAAATAATAATTATACGATGATATTTTACTTCAACATTTAGTTATGAATTTATTACTAAAATAATAGTTCAATATACACTCATTTAAAATATTTATAAATTTAAATGAACCAAGTACTTTTTACCCAAATTGAATTTGTGAACAAATCAAATACGAATCTCTAAAAATATTTAAATCGAACCTGAATGTTATCCAGCACTAACGAATACGAATATTTTTCATGAATATCCAATTTGAATCGATTCGTTTATAACCGCAGTACACCTATACCATACATTTGAATGTACGATATTTCTTGTACATCCGCATGAATATTCATTATCGAGTAACTAAATATCATTTTTACTAACAAAATATCCATTTTTGAGTAATTGAATACTCATTTTCAAACATAACAAAATTTTTGAAAAATGAGTACTCATACTCGAGAACGAGTGCTCACTTCTTTGAAAATGTGTATCTAATTACTCGTAAATGAGCACTCACTACATACGGGAAACGCCACACTATCAGTTGTACGGTATATATTGCACTATCATAACACCTCATTCATTTGATCATTTTAATAAATAAGCCAAATTGCACTGCCACCGCAAAAATGCATTACGTTTTTTCATAAATGTGCAACAATGAAGCAAAAATACATCGGTGCCTGGGGTGGAATGAAGGATTATGGGGTAAGAATCACTTCAAAGTCGAATAGAGTACCGTAGAACCCCCAATTCGCTCAATGTCATAATATGACACGAGAGAGTAGTCACAAAAGTTCCCACCTCGTCTCACTACTACGGAATTATTACTTAAAAAGTTATAAGAATTAAACACATCTATTTCATCCAAAATATAATACTAAGCGATTGTGAAATTACATATATGGCCTCTAATTTGGTGTAAGAATCCTAATCCATATTTACACACCAGTAAGAACTACAATAGATATAGATATAGGCTGCACAATCAAAATAAAGATTACATGATAAACTGGCTGATCACTCACTATCCATTTCTTTCACACTTTTTTTTTATTCTGATTTTTTTTCCTACTGTGTATCACTCTTTCACTCTTCATGGTTTTTACCCAACAAAAAAAAAAGAGTGAATGAAATATACCCACAATAAAACGGAGGGCGTTAATGGAAGAGAAACCTGAGTGGCGGCGAGAGGTTTGGTCGGTTGAGATCAGGATTGCCAAAAGAGTTGGGGGTCATTACTATACAATGACCTATCTTGAATCTCTAGATTGGCAACATGCCAGTTTATGAGTCTTGATTGGATGCACTTGCACACTGCCATCGCAAACGGGAAAATCCACCATACGCTTTCGCCCCTGCACCAGACCGGCATTGTGTAATTTTTTAGTGTGATACTGTAAAATCTCATACTCCCTCGTCCGTAAATTTTCTTCTCATTTGGCGTTTTTTCATGGTCTCCAATGTTTTACTTTGACTATTAAAATCTATGTTTATATATATATATATATAAAATTGATATTTCAAAACTATGTTTCAAAAGAAATCCATTGATATTACATTTATACCATAACATATTGTATATTTTCTGCATATTGAGGTCAAAGTTTACAAACTTTGACCAAAAAAAGTCAAATGGGAAGAAAATATTTGGAAGGAGAGCGGCTTAAAAATACAACAGCAAAATCAGTAAAATTCTACAAAAGTAGGGTTTGAAGGGTGTGTGTACGCATACCTTACCCCTACTATAAAGTAGGGAGGTTGTTTCCAAGAGACCACATAGCTCAGAGACAGAAGTACGAACAAAAAATTGATTGAAGCATGACTCATGAATGAAGGCACAGTTTTAAAATAAATGAATATGATAATGGCAATTCTTACATGTTCAATGGCTGAAAGTATGGCAGTTTTTTGCTTGATTGGGTCCGATACTGCACATATCCACAAATAAATGCGACAAGCTGCAACGTGCCAAGGTAAACATCAGACATGCAATCTTTAAGATATAACAACCCAAAGCAAAAGGATCATGTTTAAAAATTTAGATTTTTTCGTTTAATATACTTGTCATATTGAATAAACTCGACTTTGTTTTTTTAGAAAATTACACCAAAGGTAACAACATGGCGGCCCTTTATCTTCTTTACTGTATTTTACAGTATTTTGTTTGGGGTGCGGGCAGAGAGTGGACTCGCTCATCTTCTTTAAGGAGTCAAATCATTGTAAGACTTGAAAACGAATTACATGGCTAAGAAGCAATAACCCTCTGATTAAGGTACTAATCCAGTTAGACCTTAGTTCAGGCCAAAAATACGGAGTATGTGTAAATAAATGGGAAATTGGGAATGGAAAGCTTACAACATTAATGAGTGATGTGATGTTCCATAAAGCATATATACGAGCAAGTGCAGCCGAACGCCTCGGTCCATGACTAAATAAGGCATTGATCCCAGCAGGGAATGGAAGTAAAATTGCAAGTGGTAAAACAAACAAAACCAGAAAGACGTGCGCCATGGACACGGAATACAGCTGAAGAAATGTAAGCAGTACTAAACTAAAATCACCAAGTAACAGCATTGAGATGACCAGCCCAACTAGATCCTGAAATAGGTCAGATAGTAAAATTATTAATAAAAACGGCAACAAAGACAACACCCCCACCCCCATCCCCCAAACTTCTTTCTAAGCTCTACCTTTTTGTCCAAAAGAGTTCAAATAAATTAATATGTTAACTAAATTTAAAATTTTAGAAGGTTAAATTTAGTTCAAAACAAACTTTGTAGCTTACAATATCTACAAAGTAGTTCCCTGAAAAAAACATGAATCTTTTCTGAGGGACAGTGGGAGTACTAAGAACAACAATAATTCCATGAACAAGCCCACTCAGCAAAGCATAAAAATTATTTTAAAAAACGCATAGAAATACATAACGGAGGGAGAGAGAGAACCTGGTGGCCAACTGGCTTAGTGTTATGAATTAAAGACGAGAGGACAAAGAGTAAATCTCTTCTCTCCTTGAGTGTCTTCACGTTGCTCATATTCAGAATACCACCATTGGTTTTTCTCTTTAAAGAGCCTCCACAAACTTCATTTGAGATTACACCTCCCTTCAATTGATGAGATGGATTCTCATCACACATACTGCTACCACTGCATTATGGGAAATTAGAAATCTATGAACAATAGCACAATGTACATATTGCACAGTATAGCGTGTTTGAAATTTAGGAATTTAGTTTACTGATTTGATATACATACATACTACACAATGCAAAGAAGTATACATCTGCATTATACGATACTCCCTATAATTCAGGTGGAGAGAGTATAAAGCATGAAAGTTACCTCAATAATACACTCCTATGTTCCCCGCCAAGACCATCACAAGGAGTTTGTTCAACTTCCTCAACAGAATGTACCAAAATTCCATAGTGGATATAACTGCCGGTAGTAGCTTGTGACCAAACAAGATCGACATGAATACCACTCTCCCTTAAAGCTGGATTGGCAAAGGTTTCAAGCCATTTAAGAACAGGGCGAAATGTTTTCCTCAAACAACCCCTACGCACCAAACGTAATTGGGCATTCAAACCAGCTACAAAGCGATACCACGTTGTTGGTTGGACACACTGGAAGTTGTAAAAAGCCAAATATGATCCAATTATAATTAATAGTAAGGCTTCCCAACTCCTAAAAATGAGATAAACATGAATCTGATTGTTTAAAAGTTCTTTTCCAAATAGTCCATTTTATAAGATTAGTTTGGTAAATGTGAGTTGAAATCAATTAGATTTGGGTTTGGAGATATTTTTACAAAGATTGTTAGGAGAGTCAAAAGCAATAAAAAACGTGTTTGTCAAAAACACCTCCCATCGGCCATCGCATCCTGGAACATTGATTCTGGACCTCAAAAGGTAATAATAATAATAATAATAATAATAATAATAATAATAATAATAACAACAACAGTTTATCAAAAGTGAAAAGCTTCTTTGGTGTTTTAAATGCATTGTTGGCTTTTTTTAAAAGCCAAATCCAAACGGACACATACAATAAAAAAACACTGTAAAAAACATCATTTTAATACTTCAACCACGGTGACAAACCTGACTCATGAGGCTGGTTATTATATTGTCATTGTTAAGAGAGAACGGAACCATGTAACTCCCATCACCACCAAACAATAGAGACATGGGAAACCTTTGACGAAGTCGAGGAGGAAGATCGCTTCTTTTTTCATCTCCACCAAGGAAAAAGTCCATGTACGCTAGCATTAGATCCGGAGTGGCATTTACCTAGTTATTCAAGACTGTAAGGATAGTTTTACTTGAAAGATGTGAAAGAGAACTTCAAAACATAAGGATCTTCTAAGATATAAAAGAAAATTATAAAGCAAAACCAAACACAGACAAATGCAAATAGAAAAAGAATAACATTATGAAAGACCCAAAAAAACAAGCTCGTTTAAAAACAAATATATGTTGAATCATTGAAATGGCGAAAGTAGACATCATAGCTCATTATTTCTGCATATCATATCCCAATATAGACCTCTGTATCCTTCTCCTAACGTAATCATATACTCCCTCAGTCCCAAAAAGATTGTCACACTACTTTGTACTAAACTTTGAGCACTGATTTATCATATAACACACTGTTAAAACTTCAAAGTACTCCCTCCATCCTATAATGTTCCTCCCAAGTTGACTTTGCACAGTTATTAAGAAAGTGAAATTGTGTGGTTGCGGTTGATTATGAAGTGAGAGAAACAATATGAACCATACAATGCTTTCCTTTAAAGACAAACAAAAGTAAATTTAGGACAACCCTAAAAGGAGCAGAATAACTTTCAAGCTAACTTTCAGTGATGGGGGGCAACACAGCCCACTCTTAGGCTTTCAACGTTCAAACAAAATATTATGACATTATTCTGTAAATAAGCTGTCATAAATGGAAAGGGAAACTTAATTTTGGGACAACTCCGAAAAGAAAATAGGCACTTCCAATGGAAGGAGAGTGTGTTAATTTACACACATTTCAGTGGCTTCAATATGTAAGTTCCTATCATCCTATGGATAGGTAAATTTTTAATAACTCAAACTTAAATGGACACACCTTTTATTACATACAGAAAAACTGTTTGATCTTATATGCAACGGTTGACATCCAGTCTCTATATGTACATTTTATTGTGCTTATTGAAGGTTGAGAACCAATCCTGAAGCTTCAATTTATTTATCACATTCTTAATCTGCAGGTTGATATTATAATATCAATCTTTCTATAAAACATAACAATTGAAAATATCTCAGCTTGATAAGTCGTGACATTTCCCATGCATGTGGATAAATCTGTGATGAATCAGTTTTAGATTTTTTTTCATTATTCCATCTTGTGAAAGTTGCGACGTGAAGAGCATCCAGTGTGAAGGATTGGCATTGTACTTTTTGCATGAATTTATGGTTTCTTAAACATGGAGTACTATAAAATTAATTGACACCATGAGTTTTATGTCACCAACCCCAACAAGTTGGGAATAAGAAGCTGGTAATGATGGCAATGATGATGGCTCCTCTTAGCTTAAACACAAAATTCTACATTGGAAAGGGAGAAATGACTCGTGGAAGTCATTTTCTTCATTTTCCGGTGTTTGGTAACTTAGGAAAATGGAAGTCACTGGAAATCAAGAAGTTGGTCAATGGAAAAGGCAAAAATCCGGAAATTATATTCCCCATTTCAAATCCGGAAGACATTTTTCAAGAGTGCTGCCTCTATCTTCTTCTTTCCTTGCCTCCTCCATTGCCTATGGTATGGACACAATCCGGTGAGTTCGTGCTCTTGAACTTCCAATTGCAGAAAGAAACTACTTCTCAGCTCCATTTCCCCTCATATTCTTTTCATGCTCACGAAACACAATTAAGAAAAAAGAGAAAGAAGCATTGGAGTTTGATAGAAGGAAAATGACTTCAGAAAAATTACTCATTTTCTAGGAGTCATTTTCCTGGTTCCCAAATGGACCCTATGGGAAACTTTTGAGCAGTCGGAAACATTTTATTTGTTTTTTATAAAAAGTGCAATACAAAACGAATACTTTTACCAATTTTAGAAACGTATTTTAATGGAATGGACTTGTAGATCAAACATGAAATGAGGTACAAAACAGACTTCAAGATGGATGCATAAACACACAGTATACCAGTAAGAGCTCACCTTCAATCCTTCATATAGAGCACGTGATCGACAAGAACGTAAGCAAGCATGGTCATATTCTGATCTAACAAATTCACGGAGGCGTTGCAACTTTATTCTACGGCGCCATTGCTGCCAGGACCATGCGAGAGGATATGCAAGAATGCAGATAATGTTATGCAATGCTCCCTCCCACCACTGATATGAAGCAATAGCATTGATTTCTTCCACGAAATTATTGAAGGCACCCTCATATCTGCCAGTAAGAAGTTCCATTGTTTTAAAAATCTAACTTTGTATTAAAAAACAAACAGAAAATATGACCCAACAATGGGGTCAGAAGGACCTTTCATCCCCTTCCCCTTTCATTGATACTTTGCTGCATCTGAATAGTGTAGAACAGTAGCATCAAACTGGAGAAAAATGGAAAATAAGAAAGAAAAAGCACATACACGATCTCTTTTATTTGCTCCGGAGGTGTATGAGGCAAATGCCAAGGTTCACTGAATGTATTCGAACCAATGAAATATAACCTATGCACATGGCTCTGGGATTCCTCAACACGGTTAGTTTCTAAAACCTGAAATTATGTGCAACAAATTTTCATTTTTAGCCAACACAACAAATATAAAAACAAAAATTGTCAGAACAATTCCATAATGAGTTCAAAGATACTGTATTACAATACTACGTAGATATTTGTTTACAAGGTTTAAGTCTTTAGGAGCAGACCTCATTAAGTGACTCAAGAAATGGAAATGAGTGATCTATTTGAGAACCATGTTGTGTCGGGGCAGGCCCTGGTGACTCATCAACCCCTACAAACTTCATTCGAGCTACACTTAAAACCAGAGCTAACAGAATCAGGACAAACAAGAGAAGTAAACCAAATAGCCATGGTCCTCCAAATGTGTAAACTAATTCTTCGAGAGCTGTATAACAATGAGGCATATGATATCTCTCCGAAATGCATTTGTAAGGACAGGGCAGTTCAGTAACGCCACCTGTTGGAGGACATTAATGTTAGGCTACAGATCCATTGTTCTAGTATTAACAAGGATTAGTATTCATAAAATGGAAATAGACAAATTAGGAATGGTTTTTCTAAGAAACATGGGTTAACAATAGTGGGCATATAAACAAACGAGAAATTGATACAAGGAAGCCAATGAAATTCAGTTTCCATATCAATAAAATGAGTTGCATTATGGTCTTATAGTGAAATTCAAACAAACAAAAAACTGATGCATCTTAGTGTGTACCTCGGATAGCAACATAAACACCGCGGTTTGGAAGGGCATCCTTTGGGCATGAAGTACAAAGGTCTCCATCAGATCCGATAACATTCTTAAAAGTTCCGAGGGGACATGGCTGAACAGATACATGAGATAAAAGAATTGGTTTGAGTAATTGATTGGTATGGAAATGAACAAACCAAACCATACCCAAGAGGTGGGGTCTGGGAGAGTGACTTGGTGAGATGTATGCAAATATCACCTCTGCAGGTCAACCCATAGGAGTAGAGAGATAGCATATGTCTCATCTTATAATGAAAGCACTTTTTACAAACTTTAACACCCTAGTCGAGTGGCATATTATTGACTAGTCAACCGACTAACCAACTAGTTGACTAGGGTGTTAATTTGTAAAAGAGCGCCTTCATTATAACATCAAAAAAGAGAAATGAGAAAACTATGAACTTACTTCACAGAATATCCCATAAAGACCTTTTGGACATGCTTTCCCAGATACTGTTCCGTTTTGACCACTTCCTCCTTGCTTTCCACCTGGCCCGCCACTGAAAAATTAGAACAGAAAACTAAAATCAGTAGAAAACCAGCAATGCCAAGGACAAATTACGACAATAAAACAACCCTAACAACTAGAGACTTGCGAGCAAAGTGACTCTGGAAAAAAAATCATTTATCCATGAGAAATAAAAGCATAATGATAATTAGTAGTCTTAGTGTCTTACGAGTTTATGTGTAGGTAATTAGGTATACAACGTGCGCGCCTGTATGCATGGTGATAAATCTATACAGTAGTTTGGGGGCAAAATGGTCTATACTTTCAGGTATAAGATTGTGTGTAAACCTTCAACCAAATATTATACAGGAACTACATGCAGTGTTACACATACAAAGAAAAAGCATAAAACACGGAGGGAGGATCTAAGAGTCTTCTAGTCAAAAGCGAAGTTAACGAACTAGGTGCTCTCCTAGGCACAAAAGACGTAGAGCCTTCTAGCATCCCAGGCACAAGTAGGACGCTGGAACGCACTTCAGACGCACTTAAAGGGCGTGCTTTAAGGAGAAGCACTTATTGTGATTGCATTACTTTCTACCTTAAAATAAACTTATAGTACTGGCCTATTACTTTATAGATTGAAATAGGGAAAATACTGGGAAACTAGTATCTAAACACATTTAAAAGAGAAAATCATTTTAAGATAGTATGGAATTAATTTATGCACAAACCTGATGTAGATGCTCCCTTTAACGCTTGCAATGGGCTGATATACATCCCCTGTAGGAATGTCACACCAGTGAAAATGGATTCTTCCACCACCACCACCTCCTCCTCCCCCCATTGGACTGCCAGAACCACCAACACTTGACAAAATGGCAGACTCGCCAAGATCAAGAGCATGCAAGAATAACAATATTGTTCCCCCAGAACCACCACCAGGCCCCACATTAAGATCCTCTTTACTTGCAAATTGCCCAACCAAACTTCTTTCAAAACCGTCTCCATCAGATTTAACAGAGCCTTCGACAAATAAACTTGACAGAGGATGCTCCCATGAACCCATAACTGATATAAATAAAAAAAGAACATAAGAGTAAATGAAATAAATAATCAGGCAATAATTTATATAAAGCAGATGATCTCAAGAATAATACATCACATTATGTGGTACCGCATCCCCATTTGTTGTCCATATTTCTTTTTACTCAGTATATATGTCCTGAAATGTTGTCCACTTTCCTAAAATAAACATCATAGCCACTCTAGTTACCTTTGTGTTCTTTTAACCCATCACTCCTAAAATATGTTTAGACTAAATGGTAAAATGATTTTGGAACAGAATGACAATGTACAAACTGGTTATAAAAGAGTATATTCTATGATGAATACTATCATCTGCAATTCTGCATCTTCATTTGAGAAGGGGGAAAATGACTCCCAAGAGTCATTCTTCCATGTTGCTTGGTAAGATTAGAAAATGGAAGTCAAAGGAAATTTAGCCTCATTCAAGGGGGAAATGATCCGGAATGACAATGTACGAACTGGTTATAAAAGAGCATATTCTAGGATGGATAGAATGATCTGCAATTCTGCATCTCCATTTGAAAAGGGGGAAATGACTCCGGAAAATTGTTCTCCCGTGGTGTTTGGTAAGATTAGAAAATGGAAGTCAAAGGAAATTTAGCCTCATTCTAGCAGAAAACGGACCCTCAAAACCAGAAATTGACTTCCGCAATTAAAATCGGGAAGTCAATTTCCCTTCCCAGTTCCCACTGCCTCATATATTTCTTGCACACATTCGTCTCTGCCCAATCTCTCAAATAAAAGCATCCCAATCTCTGTGTGTTTGTCATCCCTGTCCGACGCACTGCTCAAATCCCAGTAACACTAACGCCTGCCACCTCCACTGCATCACTGCCATCTCAGAGCAGCTCTAAGCCACCACATTGTCGCAGTCTGAGAGCAGCTGGGCAGCTCCAAGCTTAACGGCGTCACAAAACTCTTCTATGGCCAGTAGGGGTCTTCTTGTATACCCATAGAGGTTCCTGATGCTTCGAATGTTGCTGGCTTGGTCCCAGCTCAAACCAGAAAATGATGCTCCTAACTGTTCGATGAAATGCTCCACAGAATTCCCAGGTTCGTGCACCTCCAATTTCCGGGAGTGAATAGTTCAAATTCTCATTTTAAAGAAATGAGACAATCAGGAATCGACAGTTTTCAGACTTTCTGAACATAAGAAAAAGAAAATGACTTTAGGAAAATAACTCATTTTCTAGAAGTCATTTTCCAAAAGTTCTTTTCCTGATTTCCAAACAGACCCTAAATAATAAATATTTCGACCCAAAACTTTTACTCATGATTAGTGGTGTCAAAGTTAAGAATTCATATTAATTACAAAGTACTCCGTAATATTTTGGTTCAATAAGGCATAATGGTGTCAAATCAACTGTGTAAGAGTTGTTAAACTATATAATGCTTAATAAGCACTACCTACAATACATTCATTTTAGCACCAAATTTAAAAAATTGTAGATAAAAATCTCATTTTTGCCATTTCACTGCTGCACATGATACAATCCAGTCCGTGGCTTTCAATTTTTGTAATTGTCAATTACCCTTTAAGTTTTGAAATAAAAAAACCAGGAATCCGCAGCCACCCCAAAAGGGCCTTTCCGGAAAGTAGTTTTAGTGTTTCATTGTCACACTTTTATTTCATTTTCAATCAGTATACAGTGCTAAATAACATGATGGACCATCAGAGAGATTTTATAGTGAAAGCAGAGATGTTGGGAATGCAACCTACCAATGATCCCCATAAGATAAAATAACCACCTAAGCTTCAGTAAATGCAAATAGGAGCATAGAAAGGGGAGTTAATTTTTATATATTTATTTTGAAAAGTTCTGACCCTCTAACACAGAAAATTCAAGATATCATAGGTGTGCTGACAATATTCGCATTAGAATTGACGTATGAAAGCAAGATTGAGTATAGCAAAACAGAAACAAGTTCAGAACTAAACGCACAGTTCTTAACATCTTATGAAAAAATCAATCCAATAGGTAGTGAGACTAATGTGCATGTGGATAGGTATAGTAAGTCTTGTAACTCGCATTAATCTTTAACTTCTTGTAGACAACGAACTTATTAGCAAGAAAATGGTAGTATGCCAACAGAATTAGAGGTACTGATTAAAAACTGGAGTCATAGAGAAGTCAAACAGTACAGCAAGCTCATGCTTACCCAAAATACCACCACCAAAAGTTGACCCAACTAAGCTGCCATTTCCACTTCCACTACCAAGTTCACATGGCAAATATGGGTTCCCATATGATATCCCTCCCTCTGCACAGCTGCCATTGAAGCATCTATTACCACCTCTGCCACCATGACCAGCACCACCAGAAAGACCGTTGCTTAGGACTTGTCCCTGTCCCAAGCCACCAGCACAGCCTGTAGATAGGATTTATGAAACTGAGTAACAATTTTAAGAAAACAGTTGTCTTTACATAATAATAATAATAATAATAATAATAATAATAGTAATAATAATAATAATAAAAGACAAAACTGTAGGAATATAACTCTAAATTTACAAAACTTAAAATCATACCCATTCCGGATGTGCTAATATTCCCATTAGCCTTCACAGTGACGGTTCTTGCTCTATGAAAATGAAGCACAGATCCTTCTATCAGCCCTTCAACAAGGATATCCTCAACTCGGCAGACCTACAGTTATGTGAAACGGAAAAAGCTAAGGAAACTTAATTGAAGGAACACAGACAAAAAGCAGCAGAATGAAACATCAAATAGCTAATAGCTACCTGCAAAGTGAAGGACAGTGAAGAGTTGACATTGCAGTCTTCAGGGGGGTGAAGCAATTCAACAGGGCAATCATCAGTATTGCAGTTCAACTTTGGTGCCCTGTGACATTTAAAGAATGAGTGCCAAGCCAACAAAAATTGATCCGTTATATCAAAGGTTAGTGACTGAACGGATAAGGAATTAAGAGATCAGAACTCACAAAGCATTAGCTGTGGCATTTCGTAAGGGGCCCCTCAATACTGATTCTGGTCCAACCTTCATACAGAAAGAGAGAGTTGGCAAAACAGAAAACTGTTGCTGAATGTGTGTAGCAATTAATCAACTAATGTGCACATAAATTTAGTTACAGCATCATTTAGCATTGAAGATTAAGAAATTGAGTGAGCTACTGCACAAGATTAAGATGGTTTAAACCTCAGCAAAATGATAGTTGGGCTCTCACACTCAACCTAAGCATACAATCATAGGCATAAAAATGTAACAAGGGTACATACATCACAAAAAGAAGAGAGGGTACGAGATCATTAAATTATAAGCAGAGAAATGACATCATATCAGAATTTTGAAAAGTGCAGAAAATCTAAATAGTGTGTAGAGGACTGCTCATTACATGAATGCTGTAAAACAATGATAAGACCAAGTGGTTAGCTTCGATACAATCCCCAGCTCCAGATAGATTCAGTAAACCTTGCCCATGAACACCAAGATTTGCATTAGAATGAATTAAGGATGATTCCTGTACAAGAATGGGTATAAAAATTAACCTGCAGATTGAAGAACAGAAGATACAAGAAAATAAGAAAATAAGTCAGATATACACCTTAAGAACAACTAGGTTACTAGCCTCGAGCATTGATGTTTCAACATTGGCATCTCCACCGCCATCAATAAGCACTTGTGAATTCCACATCAGAAACATCTTAACTGACATGCGTAAAGCTCCATAAACCTGAAACCGCCTATGAGTCAGAAAAGCATAGAATGCTCAAGTGAACAACTATCTGCAGATTGAAAAAATCAAAATCCCATAATGTGGTAAGCGATGTGAGGAAAAGGGATGCTTTCATAGAAAGCTCCGCGGAGATGTCATGTCACATTGAACACATTGATGAGTGATGACGGCAATCAACTTAAAAAAAACAGAAGCTTGGCAATGACCAAAGTCTGCATACAGATCTTAATCGTGAAGGGGAGATAAAGATTATGTTGCTAAGACAGTAGACACATGCCAAAAATGGCAAAAAGATATAGAGCATTTAATACATAGAAGGATAGGCACAGCTACAGAAAGGAATATGATGCCATTAATATATTATTATTATTATTATTAGTCATATTCTAATTTAGTTAATCTTCCTAAAGGGATTTATCATAAGTCTCATATCAGTAGTCTTATCTTATATCAGTAAATGTCCCTAAATAAGAAATGATGAAAAAAAAGTAAAATGGCTCTTTAAACTATCTGCACTTCTTTAATAATGAAGTACCCGAGCTGCGTACATTCCACCCCCTTACCCCGCAATGGGTGGGAGCCTTTGGGACATTCGGGTAATGTTGTTGTTGTTATCCCTAAATAAGGATTTGTGTTTCCGGTTATACAAAGTAGTAGGTTTCTCATAAGACTTTGCCTATTTATACTAACACAATCATTAATAAAATCCTCAATGGTTAAGTCAAAAATCCTCAATGGTTAAGTCAAAACTCTAATTGTGAAAATGCAGCACTCTCCTCCATCCAGCCACATGTAGGGAAGGATCAATATCTTCTTTTACGTTTGCTTTTACATCCGCAACAGAGTAGATATGAATAAACTGTATGGATAACTGCATCACATTGACATATTTTTTTAAAACTTTCAAAAAAAAATGAGAAAGGTATTTAATGCATGTGTTGTTTGGTCTCATTCAGACAGCATATCTGTACAATGCAACAAAAACTAAAGATAATGCGAAGTTACCTTAATAACAGAGTCGCTCATCAACAGTTCTTCTGCCAACAGTTCAAACTCTGACATTGAATACTTTGCAAGCCCAAAGCTCAATGATGCATAGTACAAGAGGCTAATTTGACCCTGGACCTATATGAGAAGCATTGAAGAGGATTACAAAAATTATTAACATGGGACATAATCTGTTGATATTTTACGAGCAACAACAACAACAAACCCAGTAAAATCCCACAACAATAGAGTCCAGGGAGGGTGCGTGTGCGTAGACCTTACCCCTACACCGAAGTAGAGAGGTTGTTTCTGATGTTTTAAAAGCAAACATGCAATAAAAAAATTACTCCATCCACCACAATCTCTTCTCCCTAATTACTTTTTAAACTGTATCTAGGTTGTACGATTGTGAAGTTGAGATTTATTTGAAAAGATTAAAATCAATATGAATCACAGTATTCTTCTCTTAAAAGAAAATGAGAAGTTTTTAGGGTGGCCAAAAAAGGAAGAGGGAAGCGCAATTTGGGACAAACAAAATCAAAATATTAACTGATGTCAAATTCTTGTAATCTTGCAATTCTAGTAACTTGTCCTCTCTCTGTGATTGGAAGGGAGAAATACAGAAACACTGATGTTTTGTTAATAACATCTTTCTTCAAGGCATTCAAGCTATACCCTTTAATATGTCTGTGGCATTCTGATTAGTGCAGCAAATTATGAAATTTTTCTGCCCTTGAAGTGTTAGTAGAAACTAGGTTCTAAGGCACAAACCTGAACACGACTCCATAACAAAGGAAGAGTAACCTTTGCATGGTTACCAATATAAACATTAGTCCAAAGTGGCTGAGGAAAATCCATGAGAAGTGTGTCTGTATCTGTTGATTTGTTGTTGTTGTTTACGGTAAGAGTCCGTGGAACATTATCATAAAAGGTTCCCGCAGCACCAGCATTTTCAGAGCAGCCACGGCTACTTCCACCTGTTATCGGACAATAAACTTATGTTGGGCTAAATTTTGCAGATTTGGGAATACTAATGTGTGCAAAAAATGGACCCTGAATGTATACAAAGAACTTTATACAGCTAGAGTATGTCCCCCATAAATCCACTAACAGTGGTACTTTAACCATAGTAGTCACAGTATCAAACTATCAATCTCTGCACACAAAAGCTTTGATTGAACCAGAATGGGGGGAGGGGGGTTATAGACCTCTGTAGCACTAGGTCACCATTTATTCCATAGACCAGAAACAGAATCTAAAAGCCTAATCAAGTACTTCCACCATTCTCTTTAGTTGCAACCCTTAAAATTTTGCACTACTCAATATTCACATACATTACTTCGATGGTACTAGTATTTATCTACTAATAATGCAACAAAATCCTATTATGTAAAGTGTTTTATAAATCGACTCGACGTATATTTTCAAAATATCAACTTTTTTATACTCAATTTGTCCAAAATAAAGTTTGACCTCCGTAGTTCCGTACTTTCCAATTAAGGAAAAGAATATGCGACTCGCAAAATATTTCTCTGTGTGAAACAAATTTCAACCACACTTTTACTTTTCAACAATTTCTTTACTAGTAAACTTCATTTTGGGATGTAGGGAGTAATTTTTACTAATGGATAATTAAATATATTAATGGAGGTCAGTAGTATAGAAGATTAGAACTCTGCTGCATATGCACCCACCATCGTGTCATGTGCACACAAACTTAAGCCTAATTTTGGGTCGCTTCATCTTTTTTCAAAAAAAAACCAGCAGCAAACCCCGGTGAGGCCCCACAAGTGGGTTTAAGAGGGTGGGTCTACGCAAAACATTTCCCAACCCAATAAGAAAGAGACTGACTCTTGGCTAAAGAAAATAATATTACAACAAGAAAATGCCGAGAGATGAGCAGTAGGGTCAAAGAAGTATGGGATAACAAAGAAATGAAGAGTAAAAAAACAAAAATAAACAAACCCCTACAAGGGCACCCCTCCAAACCTGTCTCCCACCTTACTCTTAAACAACACCTGAAATCCCCAGCTACACACCTAATAATTCAAACCTTTCTCAAGTAGCCCTGTTGTATATGCTTCAACATTGTGTCATATACATAGTCTGTAAGGTGCCAGAGCGAGGCGAGGTGCCAATGTACCTTCATATTGCCTAGGTGACACCTAGGCAGCCTATAGATATAGATATAGATATACATACATATGTGTGTGTATTGTAGGTCACAGGTTTAAGTCAAATCTTTTTAAACATTTTAAATTAGGCTTTCAAAATAATTGGGATGAACTAAAAAAAGTGGGCTGCACTAAAAAATTGGGTTTTTCAAAATTTTAAAGGGGTCCAAGGCGTCAGGCGAGAGTAAGGCCACGTAAGGCGACACCTAGGCGAGCACTTGAAAGCCTTAAGGTTTTGGGGGCGATGCGAGCAGACTAGGCGTCCAAGGGGCAGTGCCTTATCACCTAGGCGACGCCTTACAAATTATGGTCATATGCATTCGAATTTAAATCTATTTTTCACATTCAGGATGAGTCCATGTGGACAGTTCCTATGTGCATAAACATGGCTATTTTAATGACTTTCACCATTGCTCAAGGAAAATAAACAAAGAGCAATACACAGAAACAGATTATGTTGTTGGCCAATACCATACACAAAGATTTTTGGATCTTCATGTCTGCTAAAAATATCCACAGAAACTCTTCCACCACCACCACCTGCAAAACCATCACCACCGCAGGCGCTTATTTCACCAGTTCCAGTCCTGCATTTAAAAAGAAAATAGAATGACTTACACACATAATTACACAAATTTAAAGACTTACTGATTATGGATTTTTTTTAAAAAGAGCACTGGAGCTACTTAAGAAACACTCACAACACATCCCATTGCAAATTTTAAAAGGTGATAAAAGACAAAAGGGTGGAAAAAGAGAAATGAGGTTGGAAATAAAATTTCATTTAACACATGAATGAAGGATATATGCATAAAAGATTAAAATCACCGGAATCTTTAGAAACATGGAAAGCTAAAATGGGTGGCTAACTCTCTATACATGCATATATATAGTACTAAGTTCTTTTTCCTTTGTTTTTCAAACATAGTCTTAAATATAAAGAGACGTGTACATTTATCTTGAGCTAAAATAACACCTGAAGTTTTAGAAACATGAAAAGCTAATGTGGATGGCTAACTGACTAACTCTCTATACATGCATATGTAGTACTTAGTTCTTTTTCCTTTGTTTTTCAAACATAGTCTTAACTCTTAAATATTAATAGGCGTATACATTTATCTTGAGCGCTCAATAAATATAGTCCATGCAAAGTAGGAAGCTAAATCTTGGCTGTGCCACCCATACTATGTAAAAACTTAAAACTAGGTGGAAAAGGATTGAAGAGAAAAAAAAATCAGTATATGAGTATATCTAAAATTGTAGATCATGATATGCTATTGCCATTACACCCATAGAATGGGTGGAAGCCGATTTTAAAAAAATGATGGTTGAAGCTGAATAATTTCATTTGGAAGTCCCATAGAATGATGATTGATTAGATTCAGGGTGGAGTTGTGATCCTTGAACTTTTGATCAAGTTTCCCCTTTAAATAAATTTGTGTGGAGTTGTGGACATTTCTTGGGATATCCAACACAAGGCCCTCACTGTACTTTAGCATTGGTTTATTTAGAATAATACGTAGTATGTACTATGTAACAATTTAAGTGCTTTGATTCCTAACAAGTTAAATTACAGAAAAATTGAAATAAAAACCACACATTCATAAAACAAAAGACTCGTCTAAAACAGTTGTGTTCTCCCTGCCTATGTCAAAGACAAGGATGATTGCTCTTCCCTAACAAAGGTGAAAATTAAATTAATACTCTGAGCCATGTAAAGCCGACATAAAGATAGAGCAGACAAACTTACATCCTATAAGCTGTGATGTAGATGCTGCCTCCAGACCCACCTCCGCCTTTGGTACCTCCATCCCCACCATCAGCCAACAACATGCCATTCACTTCCAATAATCTGTCCACCAGCAACATTATCCTTCCACCCCCTCCTCCACCATAGTCCAGATCTCTGCTGCTTGTTCCACCTTTACTTCCATAACTATATGGCACCTGCATCGTTGACCACCCATACGCATCCCCACCCCAGACATCCTCCTGCAGTTTTGTTGTGTCCGTCAGGCAGCATGCACCTCTCCCTCCATAACCTCCCCCTCCACCATCCAAACCTTGAGGGGTCCCACTTGTCTGTTCGGGAGCCGAACCGGCTAACCCAGTAGTGTTTACAGCAGACCCATTTCCAAAAGTAGCATTGTTAGCAACAAGCTGAAATGTTCCGGCAAGTATAGTGGAATTCTCACCAATGTTAAAACTCCCAGTTACATTAATCACAATTTCACAGCCCGCAAAGGTGCAATTGACTGTGACACCAGAAAGGATGGAAAAGTCGCCCTTCCCTTCTATATACACACTCTTTGTAATATTCAAATCAGACACTATCTTACAAGTGGTATCCAACGAGCCCACGCCCCCCAGATCAGCCTCACAGGAAACAGACGGCGGGTGGGGAGGTGGAGGAGGCGGGGCAGGTGGGGAGTAGTCCTGGTGGAAGAGATACAAATCGGAGCCAGAATCTGAGTCGAATTCCTCAACCGGAGCAGCAAAAAGAGAGCCCTTCTCGCCGCTACCGCCACTAGGGTTTGCGAGCAGCAGCACCAACGACAGCAGACTCAAATGGAGCACGTAGACGGCCATTGACTGAAGAGTGCAGTCATCACACTCGACAGCTAAGACGAACCGAGACCGCGATTGACTGCATCTGTCAAGCGCTTTGGTTCCTACAGACAGCCGCCGCCGCCTAGGAAACTTTCTGAGCAAGCTAAGTATATAGGCAGCTGTATGGGCGGTTCGGGAAGAAGAATCCGCCGGAGAGACAAAAAGGAGGTGCAGAGATTCTCGGAGAAGAATCCGCCGGAGACTGCAGAGAGATAGAGAGAAATGAAGATGGGAGCCTCCGAGGGAGAAAGCTTAAGCAGTTGGATTTAACTTGCAACCCAGCACTCTCTATGGTTAACTCTAAAAATATTTCTATGATCAAAAAAATTAAACTAGTAATTTATGTCACTGTGAACTATCAAAGGGTTGATGCATATATGTGATGGACAATTTTGATACAATTCTTGGTTTAAAAATAGTTTATTCTGTTTATAATTCCTGTTCGAGAAAATTGATATAGAAAAATTACTTCAAAATCTATGTTTTGGCATGCATTTTTTATTTTAGTGAAAATTACGAGTATTTTTCATCTGACCTTATTTTCGTTTGCCATGACAAACATTGAAAATATGAAAAATGACTTCCTCATGTCGTTTTCTGCATTTTCAAGCTATCTTTAATAAAAGTCTACTCCCACATTAAAAGAATTAATGATGTGTGAGACATGTACGTGTAGTAGTAAGAAAGTCACATATACTTCTTTACATTCATTGTTGAGCTACAATCTTGCGCGAGGTTTAGATTATAAGATTGAATAGATACTACATTAATGAATATGGAGCTGCTAAAAAAGAAGTTAAAGGTTTAAAAAATTTGGATCATATTCAATAAGTTCAAACAATGAAAACACAACCTTATAAATGTCCATGAGATCCACATAGACTTTTTAACAATGCTAGAAACACCATGGCTATGTCCCAAAATTTAAAAAAAATTGTCTCATTTAGTTTTGCATTCAAAATAAACTTCATATTTTCTTAATTTCATATTTGTGGAAGAAATTAAATACATGATGCTATATATTTCTCATTCTTTTCTAAACTAATTAAAACCACAAACATTCTCATTATACTTTTTTTCACTCAACAATTTTCTTAAATTTCTTAAAATTTTATTCTATTTTGGCAGAGAGTGAAGTTGTCCGCTTTGTCTAATATCTGATATGATCTTACTATACTTAAAATTAAAATTATTGTTTACCATTCTTATAAAAAATAATGATACTATAGATAATAATACTCCCTCCATTCCTAAATATTCACAACATTTGCTTTTTCCGCAGTCGCGGGAACTTTTTTTTATTTCGACATTTTCATTGGTTATTTGATAAAATAAAATATTCTTGTCACCACTTATTTTGAAAAACTTTTCATGTAGTTTTTTTATATGTAAATTTTATCTTTTATTTCTATACTAATATGTAAATAAAATGAATTAAAAAAACTTGATATTTTACCTCGGAAATACAAATGTGGCAAATAATTTGGGACGGAGGGAGTATTAAATTAAAGGGAACAGAACTACTATTCTAGAATATAAGACAACATAAGAATCATGGCATTTTAGCCAAATAAGGGGAGGCAAGTACTAGGTGGGGTGGATCACATGGTCAATGCAGCATGTACAACCCTTAACTGCAGCAACCCAACCCAGAAAAAAACTCTTTTTTGTGTACTTTAGGGCTTATTCTCTTCCACTAATTTTTTTTACGGGGTATTATATATTTTTATCGGATATTGATCAAATAAAGAAATATATAATCTGAAACAAATCAAAATCGGACTTTAATAAATTCAGATCAGAAACAATGAACAAAGAGAAGTGATTTTTAAATGGAGAGATTTGTTCCCATATGGAATAAATGAAACAAGAAAAGGACTAGACTATACAATTAAAATCAATTTGGATCACAGCATGCAGAAACCATATGTGTTTCTGAGCTTTAGGACACAACAAAACCATGAGTGTGCTTTACTGGTTAGGTGAGTTCCCCATTTTTTCTCACCAACCCTTGTCATGTTTTATAGTGTAGTCCATTTTAATCTAGAATAGGCCTTATTTGAAAATAGTGTTTTCAATTAATGTCACTTTTTTGCAATAGCGTTATTACTGTTTAAGAAAATAATATCGGAGTACGTTTGGGAACAACATTATCGATTAGCGTTAACATTTTGGATAAAATTTAAAGTTGTAGATTAATTCTAAAAACGCCAACGCTAAAGGCTACCGTTGGATAACTTTTTCAAAAAGCTAACGATGATGCCAAACGGGACCTATATAAATTTTTTATAGAGTAAATAAATTTTGAAAACATTAAGTATAAGCGTGGTCATTCGATTGGATAATCTTTTTAAGGTGCTAAATTTAAGTTAGACGGTGAATCTATTGTCAAACAAATGTTGTCATTCGATCGGATAATCTTTTCCTCATTTCTATTTATCTTTTAACGAAAAATCATACTATGTAATTTAACTTCATGCACTTTAAAAAATTATTTAGGAGATGGATAAGTGGTGTAACTGTTACCATAAATATATAATTTATTTAAAAAATCATCTTTTTTTACTCCGTATTATTCATTTTATCATGTACACAGTAAATAGTTAATTCTAAAAAAAATACTCATAATATATAAAAGGTTATCATTAATAATAAAAATGTTATTCCAAATCCGAGTAATGTTCTTTGATTCAATTCATAGTAATGTGAGAGCAATTCTCTTGGACTAGAGGCCCAAAAGAAGAATAAGCTTTTGGTGTCAACTACTGCAAATGAGACTTAAGTCACACAAATCACAATAAACATTGATGGGATAATAATATAGGTTCGTGTAGTATTTAAAAATATACGAATAATTTTCTATAAAAAAATAATATTTCTTTTTTCGTCCGCCTTATAAAAAGGTTAAATCTTCTTCTTTTGGAAACAATTTTGTGACCCTTTTAAGTTTTTTCTCCTTTACATCACTTTTAATTAGATAATTTTATTTTTTTAAATCTTCATATCAAATCAAAGGTTAAATCTTTCTATGAGATGGAGACATAATTATTTTATTTCAAGTTGAAACAATTTAATACAGATTATATGTATACATTATTCTTTTTTGAAAATAACTTAGGTCCCGTTTGGTACACGGAATTCAAACTATGGAATTGGAATTGAGGACTTTATTTTCAATTCTGTTGTTTGGTAGCACAAAAATTATGTGGATTTAGAATTGATAGTGTAAAAAACGAATTGAAATTGGTAGAATTCAATTCTATGGAATTAAATCCCATGGAATTTCAATTCCAATTCCGTCAATTCTGTATACCAAACGGACCCTTAGACATTTTCATTAGTCAATGTCAAATTGTATGTGCAAATGAATCTACACATCTAAATAATCTAAAACAGTTGAGATTAAGTCAATTTGAGGGGCTCCTTATAGTATATAGTAGTGTTGGGGAATTGGATCGGATTGGCAAGTCCAATTGACCAGATTATATCTAATTCATTGATTAAACTTGTTTTCTTTATCATTTGTTATTTACATTTTGGAACCGCAACACAATGATATTATCACTTCAAATCTGAGCCATATATATAAAACATGACGGAGCGACCCTTACATAATGCAATCACTCTTAAGCTTACTATTGGTATAGCATTTGAGGTTAGATTTAATATAAGCAACATACTCCTCCATTGCAATAGGTGCGTGAGATGTTTTTTTCTTGTTTCTCGCTCTCCAAATCACATGGCAAATTGTAGCCCAAATAGCAATTCAAACATACACTCCCTCCGTCCCAAAAAGATTGGTACGTATTGACTTTTTGGAAATTAAGAAAAGGATATTTTGGTGTTAACTTTCCAAAAATACCCTTGATGTGATGGGTAAAAGTAGGATGTGATGAGTAGATTATTAGAAAAAAGGTATGATGTGATCGGTAGGGTATGAAAAAGTAAGGGGTAAAAGTGGTTTTTTAATAGAAATGTAACGGACTTTACGGGACGCAATTTTTTCGAAACGTGTCGGACTTTTTGGGACGGAGGGAGTATATCTCTTATGCTGCCATTTCTGTTTATTTTCTAAGCGAATTTTATGGTGGACCAAAGATCCACTATTGACCTACATATGAAACAAAAATGTGAGAAGGTCCATTAAAATGATATGCAGCTAAGGCACACCAAAGAAGCACTCTATTTTCTTAAGGAACTCCTGCATATTTAGAGCTTGTATTTTACACCTCAATGATTTCATGACTCTGCGATATACATTTCTAAAGAAAGAACATTCCCAATACATATGGCTGATGTTTTCTCTCCATTATCACAAAGTAGACAATCAACATTAATATTTAAAAATTTACTTATCACCTGTTTATATTATGTAACTTGGCTTGTCTTTCAAGAACAACCAAACATTGAACTATTGTTTAAGGATGGAAAGTCTATTTCAAACTGAACTAGCTCATTTAGTTTTGTGAGGTTGACCTAGAAGCCAATTATACCCATCATAAGGTGTATATGAACCTCGGTTTATATAGGGAACGTGCCGCCCAGGAGTACCAATGGGAAAATGACACCTGACACACACTATAATTAGCAATGATGACCTATCGGAAAGAGAAAACAACACGACAACTAGGCGGCGGCGTACCAGATTCCTGTAAAAACTTTCCCGCCAACCATATCCGGGAAATTCAAAACTCAAAATTATTCAAACATTTGATTCTCGCCTTGACGGTGCCCACAAAGCCAAGAATCGGAGGACTCCTTGATGGGTATAACTCACTGGTACCACTCAGCAAGTTCACAGGCGCCCGGGAGGTACCAAAGTCTGACCATGCTTGACCTCATCGTCCCCAGTAATCTGACCGGGTGGATCGTGACTTGATCTGCAGAAGGCTTGAAGACTGGCCGGCTTGAAAACTAGGCCGGGTGGATGCCTTGAGATGAACAGTATTCAGAAACAGTGTATTTTTTATTATTATAAATAGGAGTGCGTGAAAGCCTCATAAAGAATACAAGTAACAAATAATCCACACGGCTTCTAATTTGTAATCGGTCCTCATATAATAAAGAACAAACCGGGTTACAGGGATTCCAACCTACAACCCTTCCACTTTTAGTGACTAAATACTCACATTGGGTTTACACCATCACTTTTTGTGTCAAAATTATTGTCACGTCTCTTATATCGGGCTTTCGATCACTTTTTTTGGCACATAAGCTTTCGTTGGTAATTTGATAAGATAATATAAAATATATCTTGTAGAACTTTTAATATAGT